TTTCTCTTGCTGTCTGGAGAAGATTCCTGGCAGGAAATAGCAAAAGCGACTGATAATACAGTTCTGCAAGAGTACTACATAAACTTGAATCAAAATTCCAAATTTTTGGATGCTGGAATGCAGTTCTGATGAAATACATACTGATGGACAAAATTGGTCAAGAGCGTTTTTCCCATATGGAAGCGAATAAGATCGTTTGTTGCAGCCATTCAATGAGTTATTTTTTAGCTCTAATTCTACTGATACTACAATTTGACACTATCGTAGTTCACAGTGCTCCTTTCTGCTCCGCAGTCATTTTAAGTAAACCAGCAAATGTCACTGGTCCCCATAATTTAATGATAGTATGAGCACCCGAACTCAAGAAGGTGAATTTCATTTATTGAGAGGTAACATAATGACTTCATTAGGTGATAATATCATAATCCGCATGCCTCTAAGAATAGGAAGAAGATCAGACAACTATAATTAGACTTTCAGTCGAATACCCAAATACCTTACGATAAGTTTATGCTAAAAAATGGCGCTAATCCATGGTGTCATTCAAATAATAAAATCTTAATGACCTCAACGCTGCACCATGCAGGTCCACCCTCAACAGAATACCAATTAGTGATATAAAGCTAATTGTTTGTTTCTGCCTCTGTGCAATCCGCTATCCATTTTTCTTCCCCAGTAATATGTTAGGAATTGGTCTTGAACTAAATGCGGTTCATGTTGATTATAAAATTCTAGTTCCATGACCTAAAGAAAGCAGAACTAAACAATTCTGAAGAGAGAAAGCTGAAAGCGATGTAAATGAAAATTATAATATCATTATTAAGAGTGAAGCGGTCCTATCTGTGAAGTTTAAGACGAAGCGGTCATTGTTTGCGAATGAACGGCTATCTTATTGGAAAAAGACTGAAGTAAAGCCTGGCTGTATGCAGCCATCAGAAAAACCTCAAACAAGAGGTAAAGATCTTGTAAAAAATGACACCACATCGAAAGCACTGAGGATTGAGTATGCCTTTATTACATTTAGATGGAAAGCACTTAGTGCATTTGATGTAGTTTCATATGTAATGAGAAAAGAAGCCAAATTGACGAAATCAAACTTTAATCAATGTGTCATTTTTAATTTACTATGGAAGACGTATCATTCACTTTAATGTTTGCTTTAATATTCTTTTTGTGATTGTTGATGGTACTGTAATGCAGATGAAAAGTATGAAAATGACCTTAATGATCTTATCCGATGACATATCGTAAGAATTCTAGTTTACCGATCGCAAGTGCAGCCAGTTGATACATTTGTTCACAGTAAGTTTCTCAAAAGGATGATTCTATCTTTTATATTCTCTAACGTACTAATCTTCTGTGCTTTCGAATACAGTGAAAACTTACTTTCATCTGATTATATGTCTAGTTTCCTCCGATTTGGTTGTCATTGTCTGCTTAGCCGGTATTTACTATCTTTTCGCTGCGGCCTTCTGAATTCATCAGTAGTTATATATCCGTTAGAAAAATGGTCTTGTAGATTTAAACGGTTTATGTAAAAATCTGAATCTGTGGTACTAAGTCCGATTCTCTTTTTCGATGATTGGGGTTTTTTGTTGATTAAAGTTATTTCATTGCATTCAAACATTCAAACTTGTTCATTTCATTATTTCATATCTGAGAATTTCGTTCGTGCGTTGTCGTTCATGCTGGAAAGCAGCATAAAACATGCTTTATTAATACAGAGTGCAAATAGTTTTAGTTTAGTTTTAATTTTGTCAATCTAATGTTTGACCAATATCGATGTTTTACGAACCTTCTTCAAGGTTGGCGGTGGGTAAAATTTCGAAAGTTTTTCTCGTTTTCCGCGACGGTTGATAGGTTTGGAATCAGAAGGTGAAATTTTGTCTTTGAGTAGTTATTTGTTAGTTACTGAATATTGTACTCTTGAATATTTTGCTGAACCATTGTAATAATGTTATAATCTTTGTATCATATTCTTCGGAGTTGCGTGTGCGTTGGACTAGCAAGGGAATCGAATGAGCCATTTATATATTAGTGTGTTTTCAATCGGCTTTCATACAGCTCTTTAGGAAAAGTTCGCTTTGACTAAGCAGGAATGGCGGACGCAGCTGCCAGAGAACTTCAATATGAATACAAGGCGGTACGTCTTTTCTTGTTTTATATTAAAGTTGTATATTTCTGCGACTTTAGAACTCAAATTTGGTGTTGCAAGTTGATTACAGTCTCATTGATCGCCGTCCAAAGGATGAAGCTACCGGTGAAGTGCTGCCGCTGAATCCCGATCGTTTGCGGGGCATGAAAATGGGCGACAAGTTTTACCGATCAAAGCCGCCTATGTTGGAGGAAAAACAGGCAAAGTACAGTCATGTTTTTTCCTTAGATTTGCTCTTGTAGTTCATTCCACTTGTTTTTTGTTGTTATTTACTGTTGCCTTGTCTTTGATAATTGTCCAGTAAAACAGTGATCAGTATTAGGCGCAGTCATCAAAGGTTTAATCAATACGAAACTTTCGGAGCATCTAAGTGTTCTTTTATTAGCATGTGAACACAAATAATCCTGTTGTTTTATTACTTGTCCTATTTTATTTTGTTCTCGTTTTGTTTTGCTTAATATTATTGTACCGCTTCGGAAATTTTAGGTAAACTAAGCCTTTGATTTTTCAGGCTTATTTTATTGTGTAGTGTTTTATTGTTATTATCAGCCTGTTTGTGAATTTTGGAGCTGAATAATAATTAAATTTGTTTTTAAAGCTTCAAAACTATTTCTTTCGTGTTTCAGAGACAGTAGCATCAAATTTTACAACTATACTTAGTTATGTTATAGTAACAAATTTCTCATTTCTAATGGTGTATCAGAGTGTAGAGCTGTCTCTGTAGATATTTTCTACGCTAATCCCAAGCGGCTGAATTAAATCTTCAGTGAGAAATCTGAATCTATGAACACCCTTATCTGTATTTAATCTATCTCATATAGCTGATTTCATTGTCGTCTCTAGCTGAACACGGCCAGGCTAAACAGTTGAGTCAAGACTGCTAATGTCTTACTCGGTTCAAATAACGTCAGATTTATATTAGGCAATTTTGCTGCTTTGGCAAGACCCATATACCTTGCCTCACGCAAGTTGCATCAACGAGATGTTTGCACGTTTTTTATTGTTCTTCACGTTTTTGCAACTGATCATCAGTTCATACAAAATAAGTTTTGAACATATTTGCTTTCTTTGTTTGGGACTTTCTGTGTGGCGGGAAACAGAGCACGATTACAGGCGTTCGAAGAGATGGCCAGTAATTTCTTTCGGCAGTGCTATACAGTGTAGGGGTTAAGCATGTTTTTGTATTAAATAATAGACGGAGACATGGGTCGACTGGACCAATGGGATCGCTGACAAGTGAGTAGTTACCGAATCGATATGTTTTATGTGTACTCTTCAAGATTTCGTCTGATTTGCTTCAAGGACAGGGTCGGTAACAGAAAATTGACTGTAAACAGGCTCCGTTAGCTTCACAGTATAAAGCAAAGACCTTATTAGTACCTTGCAGTCCATGCCGTTGAACTTCCAAAGAAGATATGAATTAGGCTGCTAAATAGAACGTGACGCATTGTCTTAAGCAACACCTTGAAGCTGCAGGGGACGACTAAACACTTGACCATGTATCAAAGAATGCAGAGAAATTGAGTCTGCGGCTGACCTCCGTTGAAGGAAAAACGGAAGAAATACGAAAGACTAAATATGTGTGCAGTACCTTTAGTAAAATTTTTTTGCGCTATCAAGTTTTTGATTTAGACGTAGGCGCCGTGATGATGCACAGAAGGATTTTATGAAATTCCGAGGTCAGACGTTACTTACAGCAAATATTGAAGAAATTGTAGGAATATACAAACCAAGAACTCAGGAAACGCGTCAGACATACGAAATTATTCTGGCGTTTATTCAAGAAGCTCTCGGAGATCAAGTAATTGACTCATTACACAGCATGACCGTTTGTACATACATCTTAGTTCTTTTTTAGCCAAGAGATATTTTGTGTGGCGCCGCCGATGAAGTACTGGCTACATTAAAATCTGAAAAATTTAAAGATAATCAGAGGAAAAAGGAGATTGAAAGTCTTCTTGGACCTCTTACCGAAGAAAGATACGCCTTGCTATCGAATTTGGGCAAGAAGATTACCGACTACAGCATAACCAGTGAAGAAAATAAGCCCGAAGAAGAAATAGATGAAACATATGGCGTTAATGTGCAGTTCGAGGAATCCGATGATGAAGTTGGTTAGCTTGTAGTCTGTTACAACAGTCTAGTTTTACACTTAAAATCTTAGGACCAGGAAGACGTTTATGGTGAAATTCGGGATGAGTCTGACGCAGAAGAAGGAGAAGAAGCGATGATTGATTCGACTTTGAAAGCTTCTGGGGTAAGTGCTGTGACTCAACATTTTATCTTTCTTATGTAGCTCGTGAATTGGTTGATTGTAGCTTGAGGACGAGTCTAGCAGCACCACGGAAAAAAAGAAAAGCCTTCATCCGAGAGATATCGATGCTTACTGGCTGCAACGTAGTTTGGGAAAATTCTACCAAGACCCAATAGTCGCCCAGCAAAAATCTCACGAGGTTCTGGAGATCCTCAAGACTGCCTCTGATGACAGAGATTGCGAAAACCGTTTAGTACTTTTGCTTGGCTTTGATCAGTTTGACTTCATACGAACGCTTCGCCAGTACCGAAATATGAGTAATAATGACCACTTTTAATTTTAATTCAAAGTAGTGGTGTTTGAAAATTGCTGTTGCATCCAAGTGATAGATTTCATTAAGTTACTTTGTTTTTGTATATGCATCTTTAACAGCAAAGCTTCCTTTGAGAGTGAAACACCGTTAAACTTTTCGTTGTTTTAGCTGACCGATACGGTTCCTGGTTATATATGTATGTTCTAGCTGTGATCGTCCATCTATTCTTACTCATTGTCAAAGCCATCAGCGACAAAGTTATAGCATAATTGCCCTCTCTGTTCTATCATATAATGACGTTGCTAGCCAAAGGTTCCTGTCCATATTGACCTATCATTAGAGTCCCACGTTTGTTTTTTTTTAGCACCCCTGAAGCAGATGATGAAACTAATGGTTAACATAACTTGCCTTGGAGCAAGCCCCTTGATTTTGAGCCATTTTAGTGTTGCCATCCGCTGAGGCCAAGGCTCGTTTGCACAACGGTCTACTGATACCAACCACGCATACTGACCATAACGATAAATTTTAAGGGCCTAACTATGCACAGTGCTATATGTAACAGTTGTTGCCAGTATTCATGTTAAGAAAGAAAAGAAGTTTGTTACCGTTGGAATATCGCTCTTCCTTCACTTTCATGATTGGGTCCTTTGACACCTTTATTTTCATGAAGCGGTTAATCTCCGCTTCTGCGCTAGCAGTCGGGAATGCATTAGTTTTAAAGGGAGAGTTTACAGCCATGTAGCAAGTGTGCCGTGTAGTCTCTTGTTTCTTTCCCACAGAGTGGTACTCATTTATCAAACTCCGCTTCTTACTGACTGCTGCTTGATATTAGGATTTATAGATTCTGAATTCGAAACCATACCGATCGAGTCATCCCAATCTGAAGCAATGTATAGTATTTTTTTCCAAGGGAATTCGTGAATAAGGCAATGATTACACTTGAGCGGAATAGACCCAGCATCTCTGTAGTTCGAAGCAATCCTCAGACAGTGTGACAACACGCAAACCGCTTGTCACATTAATCAGAGTGAGAATAACCATAGAATTGGCCAGGATCTTTTATTGTTGCTCTGATGTATGCCTTTATTGCGAGTTGGAAGCGACTCTTAACATGTATTGTTCGTATAATAAAGTTGAACAGCAGTTATTACGTACTTTTAATAAGTATAAGTGAATGGTTCAGTAATTCACTGTACTGCGTAAAAGTAGTTTCAGATCTTATGTATTATCTGATCTGTTGTTCAAAACAGTTTGAATGAATGAGCATATTAATACACTTTCTTTAACATATTGACTACTGTTGTTTCTTCACATGAGAATTTCATGCTGTTGAAAAGGCTAAGGTGTTCTTTTATTGACAGTAGTTCGACAAGTTCACCACAATTTCGAATCAAAAGTAATGAAGTAAAATTAATGATTTGATAAACCGCTTAAACTGTGCGTCGACAAAATTTAAACCACCGTCATAAAATAGTTTAAATTGTTTCCAACAAGCGGCTAACAATTATTCCAAAAAATGGGCGGAATGCTCACAAGGATGGAATTTTCCTGAACGAATTCTTGTTTTTAGAATTCAGTATGACCTGTCATAGTGAACTGTTCGTTAGAGTTTGAGAATTGATTGTAATTTGAATATATTGGTACCATTTTACTGAAATTCTAAAATGTTTTGAACTTTTTCATTGTTTGGTTGACTAGTCTACCACTTATACAGCCTTTATCTATTTTAATTTTGAAATCAAAAGTAGGAAAATTTATAAATTGTAAAAAATTGAGTTACGAGAATTATCAGTGAAAGAACAGACTAGCATGTCGTATCAAGCAGGTTTGGGCACTCAGAATTTTAAAGGCAGTTTACCTTTTGAAGTCAGTAGTAATTTAAATTTTACATATAAAATAACTGCTGAATGTTTTGCATTTTATTAAGCACTCGAACAATTTAAACACGTTGATAATAATTGATCATAACTTTTTGCTCATTTACTGCAATGTTTTGTTTAGTTCTTTACTGCACGCTGTTGGCTTCTGCGCAGAGTGATCAAGAGAGGCAGCAAGTTGAA